GTAAACACCATGACAAAAAGTAGGAATAGATCGCACATGAATCAAGGTCCTTGTTGCTCACCAGATTGGGTAAACACCATGACAAAAAGTAGGAATAGATCGCACATGAATCAAGGTTTTCATATGTTGCCATAATCACGTGTTGTGATCTATGGTTATGGATGTGCTGCGATTCTATGAATTTTGGTCACTATGTTTATTAGAAATTTCTACAGTCTATATAGGATTGACATACCTTCGCTTCTAATCCAATACAGGTCCATAATCAACATCGTTGCATAACGTGACATTGACAAAACAATCAGGGAACTAAGAGAGCATTAACACTATCTATTTAAGCGCGTGTATATATATATATATATATATATAACATATTTGAAGATAATTACTCTAAAATCTACATCAATTTAAATAAAATACAAAATTCCAAACTAAATAAAAATTATGATATTTAAATACAACATTTAATGCAAATATCTAAACATTTATACTTGAACCCAACAAATAATATAAACATATAAACATTCATACTTGAATCAAACAAATAACATCAACATTCAACTTTTCAAATTAAAGAAAATATTGTTTATTTTGTTAATTAAATTTAGCTAAACTGTGTTATTTTATTTAGAGGTCGAAAATCAATTGAATTCTAACAGCAACCGCCACCAATTAAACTTGGTTGTACCGTGCTGGGAATGGATCCGTTCATAACCTTGTGGTGCAAAAACATGCATAATCCAATTTCAATCCGCCACATCAGCACCCCTTCTCTCTTATGAAAAGCCTTTAATTTTTTTTAATCTTAATCTTTAACGAACGATTTCTCACTTGTTTTAAGAAGGAAATTTTTTTGCACAATTAGATCAGATTAATTGTGCTCTTCAAAATGATATCCACTTTGATATATTAAAAAAAAATTGAGTAATTTTTTACCAGTCTATATCATATGGTATTGACTGGTATTAAATAAGAGCATACAATATGGTATGAAAGATACCACCCCATACCAGGGTGGTATAGTATGGTATGAAGTTGGTAACGAGATGTATGAAATTTTTTCAGCCCATAAATTTTTGGATCCAATAGATCATGATTAAATCGTTCCTTCTGTGCAAAAATTTCCGAAAACGACTTAAAAACTAAGGAGATACCATTTGGTATGGAGTTGGTAACGAGAGGTATGAAAATTTTTTTCTCAAATTTTTTGGAAAATAGATCTCATTTTGTAGAGCACAACGAACTCATTCCATCTATAAAAAAAATTGAAATCCGATTTATAATGAAAAATATATGATTCGATTAAAAAAATAGGAGAAGTAAAATATCTTTAATTCACAATCATTACATCTGAAGCTCACTTAAAATTAAGAGTCCAGATTTAGTTACTCATATTAAGTACCATAAAGTTTATTCACACTATCTAGAGCCACCAGATCGGGGTGCGGATAGTATAACAACACCTTAAGTTTTGTTACCGTAACAACAAATCTAACTAAGGGTAAAAGAGTAAATGAACAAATTACAGTAAAAGAAAATTGAATTACAACTCAAAAGCGACGGATAGAAACTCTCTACTCTGCTCTCCCACTCTCTGCCTCCTCCGACCTAGAAGACCTTCGACTCCGTCCATCCCCAGCCTCCGTCGGAGCTTTGTCCTTCACAACAATCGCAACAGCGGCAGCGGCGCAAAATCGAGTTCCTCGCCGTCGACCAACCTCCAACCTCACCGACGTTGCGACACTCTTCCATGCCAGATCTCGTCTCTCTTCATTTTTGTTTTCTATTCTTCTTCATCGACGGCTAATCAAGATGGTGGCGGAGATGGTGGTGTTCTTCGGAGCTCGAATCCTGGCGTTAAGCATGGCCGATTGAGCACCGCATCGACGCACTCGCAATGCAGATCTCGTTTCTCCTCCTCTACCTCGCTTCTTCTGTTGTCGATTGTTCTTCATCGACGAGAAATCAAGCTAATGCGGAGAAGGCGGTGGTTGTTGGAGCCAGTCTGGTCAACATACTTCCATTCTCGTCAGAAAATCTAGTTTCTCTAATTGACCATGTTGGAGTCGTTGGGAGTCGGCAGAGGTTTTGATGGATAGAGGGTTGAATGCATGTGGCCCTCACATAAACGAAATCTTTCCGGAAAGGTTGGTTTCAGTCTTCTAATCGAATTCTGCTTTTGGATCTGCTTTGATTCGTTCCAACCCGCATGGGATGGATGATGGTTAATTTGACTACTCTGTTGGCTTTAAAAGAGGTTTAGGGAAGAATTGAATTGGATACGAAAACTCGATGGTGATTTGTGGATGGGAAGAGGGAAATTCGTGAAGATCCAGCTTATGTAAGCAGTGGTTGTGAATGTGAGGCTAGTTCGAAAAGACATGAGATTGATTGTATGACTTTTATTATCAACTGAGTTGGTAGAGTGACTATTGAACTATTTATTAGATGGATTTGAATGAGACTAAGTTTTTCTTGTAATTGACTTGCCTTCTTTATTGAATTCAATTATGGTATTGAATTATCTTTGAGAGAATGATAAATCCCCTAATGACATTTTTGCTCATGTTTCCGAATTTTTGAATACTTATTGTTCACAAACAATACTAGAAACCTCTTAATGCAGATCACAAAAACTATAAAGCAAACCACAAAAAAGCATACCAGAAATCACCTAATGCATACTATAAATAGCCTACAACATATCAGAAACCTCATAAACCAAACCACAAATATTTCTAAAGCTCACCAGAAACCTTCTTATGAAAACCAAAAACGTGATAAAACAAACCAAAAAAGCATATCAGAACACACTAATGCATACCACAAATCCACTAAAACATACTAGAAACCCCACAAAGCAAACCACAAATCCATTAAAACAAACTAGAAACCCCACAAATCAAACCATAAAAATTTCGAAAACACACCATAAACTTCTTAATGCAAACCAGAAACACAATAAAGCAAACCAGAAACCTCTTAATGCATACCACAAATTCCCTAAAATAAACCACAAACCTCACAAAGCAAACAACAACATTTGCGAAAGCACACTAGAAACCTCCTAATGCAAACCACAAACACACTAAATCAAACCACAAAAAGCAAACCGAAAAGTCCAAATGCAGACCACAAAAATGTTAAAACAAACCAGAAACCCTCAAAGCAAACCACAAATTTTATGAAAGCGCACTAGAAACTTCTCAATGCAAACTAGAAACACGATAAAGCAAATCAGAAAAGGCGTACAAATATATGAGAAACCAAACCATAAATCTCACAATGCAGACCATAACATCCGGTGGTCGTCTCCGATGACCGACATTGAGCAGATTTCGGCCCCGATTACTAGATTCCGACGCTGGTAAGCATATTCCGACCATGGTGAGCATATTCCGGCGACGGTGAGCATATTCCGAAGAAAAAATAGCATATTGCGGCGAGAAAAAGCATATTGCAGTGACCGGCGACTGATGGCCGAATTCTGGCAACCAAAATTTTGGGCAGAAAATAATTTTTTTTTTTAGATTTTAATATTATTTAAACATATTTTCATAATGACAATTATACCCCTGCTTTGATTTTACACTAGGTCAACTCAACTAATAAAAAATCATCACAACTTTAACTTCCTATTGGTTGGACACTAGTGTTGTTACAATAACAACACAAGGGATGTTGTCATACTATCTAGTCCCACCGTATCGCATGTAGTGATGGCAATGGGTCGGGTTTTGCCAAACCCAAACCCATGGGTTTATCCATGAAAAAAACCCGGGGTAAAACCCACTGGTTTGAAAAACTCAAACCCAACCCAACCCACTGGGTATCCGCGAGTTCATGGGTACCCATGGGTTTTTGTCGTAAAAAATTCACAATAACAAGTTCCTATCAAAATTAAAGTCAAATATCAATCTCTCAATACAAATTATCCATATATAAAACACCATTTTAGAAAATTCAAGCAAATCATAAATTAACTATATAAATTGTTCAACACCAATCTAGAAAACTCAAGAAAATTGAAGCAAATCACAAATTATCCATAAATAACATGATTAATTGAAAGCTTCTTCCTTTCAATTAAGTTTTTCACTCTCCACTCGATAACATCAACTTCATTCTACAAAACTAGAAAGAAAAAAATTAGACATGTCTAGGGATGGGAGGAAAATCCATGGATCCGGTTATCCGCCAGAACCCGAACCGGTCAATCCGGATAAAATCCGTGTTGACTGGATTCGGATGGGGGATGGATAAAACCCGATACATTAATTACCAGGGAAGGTTAGGGGACGGATTTCATACTATCCGGCCCGAATCCGTACCCGAACCCTACCCGAGACCTATCTTCCTTAATTCCTTTACTCCACAAAATGAACTGCACCACTTCAATGCCCTAATAAACACAGTGCGAAGCATGAACTTGGAAAACACAATGGCCTCTCATCTCTCTTTGCCATTGATTTCCTAGAGCATGCAATTCCCATCTTCTAATACCCGTGCATCTACACGGCTGCTCCTATACCTATCTAAATTAAATATCCTTTTCTTTCCCAAGCTTTCAACGTTGAGTTTCGATGAGGCAGATAGAGCATCGAGAAAACTCTTTAATGGGTGACAGGATGCGAAACGGCTAGCAATTGATCTGCTGCCGCTGGGCGCTGGCTATATATATGGCTCAAGATCTTAATTCCAACTCAGTGGTTCCTAAAATCCCATCTCCTTATTGAAAAAAGCAATCCCTACTCAAGAGAGAATTGCAACCGCACTGCCACAGCCTCCATCCACGCACACAACTTCCATCCTCTAAGGTTAGACTTCTCTACTCTCTATTTGGGTATTGACCAGAACAACTTGGTAATTGTTCTTTCTTACATTTTTTTGAATTCTGGGTTTTTATACAAACCTAATTCCGCCACTTATTGCAGGTTAATATGGCTCAAAATTGTGTTGCCGCTTCTCACGTAGCTCCAGAACCAGGAAGCCAAGAAGCTATGATTGTTGTTCCTGGTTCGGCACAACAGGCAGTAAACAATCAGCAAGGTATTGAAGCACAACCGACTGCCAATATCAGTGTAACAAATCCTGATGAAGAAGAGGTAATTCGGTTGGGACGTCTTAAAAGTATAGTGTGGAAACACTTTACGAAAATAAGAGTTAAGGGTGTAATTAAAGCTAAGTGTTACTATTGTAAGAAGATGCTTGGTGGTGAATCTGGGAATGGCACTTCTCACTTGAAAAGTCATGTTAGGACTTGTATGCAGAGGAGGATTCAAGAAGGAAAACAAAAAGTACTTGGCCCTAATTTTGTTGCAAAGGGGAAAAGGGAAATGGTAGCAAGTCAATTTGATGATGAGGTTTCTAGAAATGAGCTTGCCATTGCCATTGTTATGCATGAGTATCCTTTATCATTGGTGGAGGATTTGTACTTCAAACGTTTTGTGTGCTCTCTTCCGCCTTTGTTTAGTGTTCCATCAAGGAAAACTACGAAGAAGGAGATTTTTAAGATCTATGTTTATGAGAAGAGTAAGATTCAACAGTTGGTTGACAACAATAAGGGAAGAATTGCCATCACCAATGATATGTGGACAACAAGCAACCAGAAAAAAGGGTTACATGGCTGTTACAGCCCATTATGTTGACAATTCATGGACTCTTCGAAGTCACATTCTTAGGTATGATGTGTAATTTTTAATTTTTGTTTTCTTTAGTTTGTATTTGGGTCATAGAATCACTGAACTAACCCAAGTTTCTTCTGTTTTGCAGTTTCCTGTATGTTCCAACCCCTCACACAAGTGATAGGTTGGCCTATTATCTAACTGAGTGCATGGTGAGATGGAATGTGGACACTAAGGTATCTACTATAACTTTGGATAATTGTAGCACCAATGATGCTATGATTGAGAAGGTTAAGGGGAAGTTGGTATTGTCTTACTTGTTGAGGGATGGTGATTTGCTTCATGTGAGGTGTTCTGCCCATATATTAAATTTAATTGTGAAGGATGGCTTGGATGTGGTGAAATATGGAATTGAAAAGATTCGTGAAAGTGTTGCTTACTGGTCTGCCACACCTAAAAGAGTCAAGTTTTTTTAAAGAGACAGCAAAACAAATGAATGGAAGATGTCCTCTTGATAAAAAACTGATATTAGACTGCCCTACTCGTTGGAATTCAACTTATTTCATGCTTTGTTGCTGCTTTACCATATAAGGAGTTGTTTGTTAGGTTGAACCAACGTGATTCTCAATATTGTTGTTTGCCTACGGCTTCTCAGTGGGAGCTTGCCTCTATGATTTGTGAAAAGTTGCAGATTATTAGCAAAATATCAGATTTGTTCTCTGGTTCCAAATTTCCAACTTCGAATGTGTTCTTCACAAAAATTTGTGATGTGAAGCTTAAACTTTCTGAGTGGCTTTGTGATCATGATCCTGTGGTTTGTAAGATGACTGAAAATATGTGGGGTAAGTTCATCATGTACTGGGGTGCCATTCATGAAATTCTGGCAGTTGCTGTTGTGTTGGATCCTAGATACAAAATTCAGATTGTGGAGTACTATGCTGATAAAATTTGGGGATGCCAAGTGTGTGTTGAATGTGAAGAAAATAAAGCAGATTTTGGGTGATTTGTTATTGGAATATCAGTCCAAACAAAATGGAAAGTCTTCCTTCTCTACTGTTGTATCTGTTAGTCAGCCATCATGTGATGCTTCTGGTACAGATTTGGACTTTGATATGTATGTTAAACAAAGGAAAAGGTCAAGGACAACACCAATTCAAACAGAATTGGAGAATGATTTGAATGAGGAAATTCTTCCTCGGTCTGCAGATTTTGATATCTTACTATGGTGGAAGTTTAATGGGATTAAGTATCCAATCTTGCAAGAGATTGCAAGACATGTACTTGTTGTACCTATTACATATGTTGCTTCTGAATCAGCCTTCGATGCTGGAGGTCGATTATTGGACCCTCATCGTAGTAGACTTGACTATACTACAGTTTAGGTATTGATGTGCGCAAGGAGCTTGCTCCAGAATTCATTTATGATAGGTAAAATTATTATTATCTTGCTTTCCTATATTTATTTTAATCTTTACAAGTTGTTGATTTGCTTATTTTTACACCAGATTCGAATGCTGCTAATTTGGAGGATCAATCTTCAATTCTTAATCCCAACATTGAATCTGAGAATGAAGATGAAGGTTATTGTTTGTTTTCTTTTCTTTTTTTAGGATCAATCTTCAATTTCTTTCATTTTGTTATCTTGTTGGCTGATGCTCACCTCTCTGTTTTTGTTTATCTTTGTAGAACAAGAATTTATCAAGAATTTATCAACATGTCACTTGGATGAGTAATTTTTTTTATGGGAACCTGTATTCGATTAAAAAATTATCCTCTGTTACATGGGCCACGGCCCAAATCTTCTTCCAACAGAACAAGCAAAGAAAGTGGAGGATTTTCGGTCCAAACCACTTGACTGTCCCAAACCGACCCCGAGTGGGCCAACCAATGAGCTACCCTGTTCTTATTTCTCCCAACAACGACCAAACTACCTGAGAACCAGACAATTCTTCATTCACCTTCGCCAACCTCAAAATTTCTTCGTACCAATTTTCCAGCTCGGTGAAATCCACTTCCCTCCTCTTCAGCTTGTTGATGAGCACTTGACAGTCTGACTCAACAATTAAGGGGCTCAAATTCCTCCGATTTGCTTCCACCAGTCCCATCACCAACGCCCTAGCCTGAGCCTCAATCAGATGACAAGAACCCTTCTCCTTCTTCAAAGTGGCTCCGACAAAAGCTCCTCTCCAATCTCTAAGCACACATCCAAAACCCACTCCACCATTTTGGAAAACCCCAGCATCAGAGTTAAGCTTGACAACACCGATTGGGGGAGGACTCCATTGATGGTTCTGGGAGTCATTTTGCGTCGCACCAGAGACTGTAGATCTGAGCGAAGGATCTTGGGCCGCGAGATAGGAGCCGATCCAGGACATTGCCCGGGGAATGATATCGCCTTTCTCAAGCTTATGATTGTGGTACTTCTGATTACACCTCTCTTTCCAGAGGAACCAAATGATCGAGGTGAATTTCTGGATTTGTTCAATACTGCACACCCTCCAAACCTCTTTCATCCATTCAATAGGAGTTCGATTTTCCCCTAAATCATAGACGTTTTCCACTTCGCAGCCCTGTCATTGACGCCTGATCCAAGCACAATCCCGGAGCGCATGCATCTGGGTTTCTCTAAGATTGCAGAACGGGCATTCATCTTTAGTAGTTTCAATCCAGTCAGTCACGTTCGCCCCAACTGGTAAGATGTTCTTACATAGGTTCCAAAGAAAAATTTTCACTTTAGGTTGTGTAGATAGATTCCATAGAATTTTCCAGAACTCAGAATTATCCTCACCAGAGCTATGAGAACGATCGATCTTGCTTTGCTGCTTGTTACGAATCCAGAAATAGGCTGACCTTACAGTATAGGAACCCAAAACAGAGTCCTTCCAAATCCGAGAATCCTCTTTAGGAGATGAACTTAGGGGAATCATAGAATCAACACCTGATCTTGAGTAGAGAATAATCTCCCAACTTTCTGACTATCCCAAGTCCCTTGTTGTTGATCGATAATCGAGCTAACCAAATCATCCAGGAACTCAGTAGCTGGCACAGGATCTGGATAGAAAAAGGATTTTCCAGGGATCCATTCATCATCCCATATCCTTATCGACTTCCCATTTCCCACCTTCCATCTAAAACGATCAATGATTTTCTCTTTTGCTGTCCAGATGCTCTTCCATATGTAGCTAGGACGATGACCCAACTTAGCTCCAAAAATATCATTCTTTGGGAAATACCGAGCTTTTAGCACTTTAGCCATAAAGGATTGAGGCCTCAAACTCAAATTCCAAACCTGTTTCCCCAGCATAGCCAAATTAAAGGCCTCCAGGTCACGAAACCCCATGCCTCCCTCCTCTTTTCCATCACAGAGTTCATCCCAAGATATCCATTTGATTTTGGTTTCTTTCCCCTTTTGACCCCACCAAAAATTAGCAATCAACCCTTGAATTTCCTGGATAATCCCATCAGGAAGAAGAAAGACTGACATAGGATATAAAAATTGAGCTTGTGCCATAACTTTAATCAGAATCTCTTTTCCAGCTTGTGACCTGGTTCTATTTTTCCAATATTTAAGCTTCTTCCTCACTCTTTCCTTAATATCAACAAAGATAGTTTTCTTGGATCTGCTTATCACCGTAGGAAGTCCTAAATACTTTGGAAGTTTAGCCACTTCTTTAATACCAAGAGTCCCACATATCTCCAATCTCCTGCTGCATCTAACATTATTACTGAAGGAAACCTCCTATTTATCAAAATTTATCAGTTGACCAGATTCCTCAGAGTAGGCTTTCAAGATTTCTTTCAACTGATCACAATCTTTTAGGGTAGCCTTTCCAAATATAATGCTATCATCTGCAAACAAAAGGTGGGATACTGAGGGAGCCTTCTTTCAATGAGTAATGTGTTGTTACTGGTAAGTAATATTCTTTAGTTTCATTTTATAGGTTGATGCTCTCTGTAGTGTTGTTGCTGGAAATTATTAAGTAATGTTCATCTTGTTCATACATCATTCTAGATAGCGGGGGACTACAAAGTGCAGTACTGGTGATTTATTGGTGGTTTATGTTGCTGCTGTTGATGGTGGTGCTTAGTTGCTTGAATGAAGATGGTGCTTTTCACTGGGTTTCTCAAATGGAGCTGCTGATGCCATGAAGATACAATTTGGAGTTTTTATTTAGAGTTCTTTTTATGTTTTTCTTTATGAATTGTTGCCTTGGAATAGTACTATACAAACATGGCAACATTTGATTTTACCTTGTGGGAGAACAAACTATTTGGTTCCGGAGAGTTTTGGATATCCTTGGATTGTAATTTGATGGTTCAATGTTTTGCTATTTGCATTTATTTCCAGAATTAGTTAATTATCAACTTTTGTTTCATAGTTTTCCTTTTTTCATCAATTAGGTCGGGTACCTTCGGAGATCGGGTATTACCCGTTATCCATTCGGGCATGGGCATGGTATTGAATTTACTATCCATGTTTGTGGTTCAGACGGGTACGGGGATTACCCAAACTTTGTTCGGACGGGGATCGGATGTCCAATATCTGGGCCCATTCCCATCCCTAGACATGTCTCCACAAACATAAATAAGATTAGTTGTTTAGAATATTAAATATGCCGAGAAAATTAATTATATGGGTGTGGGCGGGTACTGTCACGACCTTACTCTTGATCGTGCGGCCCTAGCTCTCAATTCCGTTAGAGCGCTAGGCAGCCTTCTCTCAAACTCACAAGCAAACAAAGAACAAGGAAGCAAAGACAAAGAAGTGGGAGAACTCTCTAGTGTGTATTACTCTAAAAAATGATGGAATGAGTTACAAGTGAGAGAGATGGCTCCTTATATAGGCCTCTTCTCATACAAGGCATTAATGACCCTCATAATGTCCCTCAACATCAATACACCCCATTAAGTCCCCCTATTATGCACTCTATAAATGTCACCCATTATGTGACTCATAAGTGCACCATTAAGCTCTCTATTAAGGTGGAGAATCCTAGGAGCATCTCTATGCTACTAGTCTTCCA